ATAAAACCTTGTTCCCTTTTTCTTATTCAGAAGTTTGGGGCCACCAGTAAAGGTGGATTCTGGGAGAATCAGGGTAATTGCCTTTTACTTATATTCGTAAATAAGAGGGAATTGTTGACATCATTCATCATATTTTAATGCATGAAGAATGTAATAGCTTTTATTAGGTATATGGATTCGTCAGACTCCTTTATTAGGTTTATGGATTCTTTAGACTCTATACAATACATTTATCAAAATATTAGCAGACTGATTCAAATTATAACTGAGCAGAATAGGAAACCTGAGTTGGCAGCCAAGGACAGAATTAATGTTGCAGATCAAGTGTGGGATTGCCAAACCTTTATTTTCTCTCCAAACAGAAGCTGAGTGCAAGACATTAAACTGTAATGGTCACTGGAAATTGCTACATAGCACCCTTTTAATTACCTGTAATTGTTTTTCCTGAGCAAGAATAAGTCAGTTTATGAGGACATGTGGGAGAATGAAGAGCACACATATAGATGAAAATTAGGTTTGGAGAAGTTTTCAGGCTGATTTTTCTTTGAAAACTGCTTTCAGCTCCCTCTCTTGCCATAGTTACTAATGTAAGAGGTAGAAACATGTTTCCAAAAGTTTTAGAATTGTCATTTGCTGAAATGACCTATTCTTTCACTCATAAAGCATAGAATGGGAGTCACAAAATCTCTTACTCACCTCTAGTGTGATCATAGAATGGCAGTACTGAGATTCCTAAGGAAATGATGTTAAAACGCACTGAACTCTTGGAATGTGCTCTTATGAATACTGTGCCTTACTTATTTGTAGGAGGGAAGCAAAATAAATCTTCCACCCTGTTTACTTTTAATGAAAAGGGGTTTTCTGAATAAATATGGTTTTTCTCCCTGAGTTTATGACCAACCTGTAGCCTCTGGAGATATGACTGACTGGCAGCGTGGTTTCCTGCCATTTTTAAGCTTGCAGCAATGAAAGTATTTCAGTGCAATTCTTTTCCCCTGGTTAGAACAAATTCCTGAAATGTCTCTGCCTCAAACAAAAGAAACAGGAGAACTTGGTTCTGGAAAATGTGGTGTGACTCTCCCCATTTTACTTCATTTTCCAATCCTCTGTGCCTCTTACGTCCACTATGAAAAAGCTGACCACCCTTGCTGAATGAATGCATAGCAAACCCATCTTAGTAATGGTATCTATAAATGCCTCAGACTCCCTTAAATAAGAGAAGATTCTGAGAATTTTGGTTCCACCCATTCTTGAGAGCACTCTGTGGGTCACAGATGAGGTGCTGGAAGCCAGTTGCTAGTCCTGCCCTGAGAGATCATTTTCTCTCTGGCAGGATTTCATTCAGCCCCTCAATGCATGCCTGAAGATGGAAGATGCATCTCATTATTAGTGTTGCTAGTCTTGCAGCTTGGTCTCCGGCCCATGAATCACAATGGCTTCTGAGGGTTTTTAAAAAATATTTTTTAACATTAGATCTGCTTTTCATCAAGATGGTGAATTATTACACCAAAACACTCAGATCAGTTGCTGCTTCTGCAAATTACCTGCTGTTGGCAAGCTGCTCTTATTTATTATTATTTTTAGTCCAAACACGTAAGTCCCATCATGCATTGGCAATCATTGTGAAAACCCAACACATTTAACACCAAAACATTCAGGTCAAAGAAGTGCTTTATATTTAGTGCCTATATTATTTCTGTATCCCCTTGTACCATGCATACAGGAGATGCTTCAGAAAGCGCAGAGGAATTTAGATCTGGCCTCCAGAGGGGTGGGGTGAAACCATTACTGAGCCCTAAGAAGAAAGAAAGCATAAGACTAAAAATCACCCTGACTTGATCTTGTTCTCTTGAAAAAGGAAAAAGGAAAGGTTGTGGGCAGTTTTTCAAAATTCTGCTAATGTATCTCACAATAATAAAGTAGCCTCACTAGAATTCCAGCAGTATCTATTTCTTGACCTATCTCCAAGCAAATTTCATATTAGATTCTGCCCAAGAGGAGATGTGTTTAGAGCAGGTATATATCTCTTTCTGGGACTGGATTGGCAAGATCAGAATTACCCAAACTGGAAGGATTTATACCACGATTTCCCTAAAGATTTCTCCACACTCCATTCCGTTCTAAACAGTATTCCACTGAGTCACTCCACGTGCAATTTGGACCAGTGCAGTGGTGTGATCCTAGGCTAGCACAAAACATTTGTGCCTATAGCACAAGGCTCATCCACTTTGGTATTCAGATGATTCCAGCAACCAAATAAAATAAGCAATGCTAGCAGAGACAACATCATCCACTTCACCAAAGGACAGTGGGCTTATAAACCAGCTACTGCAGAGGTAACACATAGCTTTGTCCTTCAGAAGACTGACTGCTGCTTTCCTTTCTACAGTATATCATCTAATAGTAGAGCAGCTGTAACAATCCTAGATGGTCATTACAGCCATAGAGAGAGATTTTTGTAGTTAAGGGCCAGAGAGACAAATTGGACCAAATTCTGGGATTGAAAAAAAGGTTTCAGCCCCAGATTATGGAGTAACCTTTGGCAACAGTTACAGCATATTCAGCTGTGAACTCAGAAGACAAAGCAAATGGCTAAGGGAACTTGAAGAGCTTAAGAGAGGGGTCTTCAAACTTTTAGGGTTGTCAGTATTATTCTTGTATCCTGACAATTTTAAATCTGAATCCAAACCAGCCTGATTTTCAGTTATATTTTCTTCTATCTCTTTTTTAAGCTCATTCTTATTGTATGAGACAGACTAAACAGTAAATTCTAGGTACATTGTTATCCTTGAATATTTCCAGAATTAAAATATTTTTTTTCCATTTTGTACTAGTGGATCTTCTCCTTTAATTATCATCTTTAATTTTTTTTTAGTTGTTTCTAGTAATGAGCTTTCACGGTTTTACTCTTATCGGTTTTTCTCTCATCCAGAACATTTCCCCAGGAAGAGATTAGACTACTTCCTGTAATTTGTTTAAAATATTAAAATATAAATAAATATATTATAATTTAATACATATTAAAGATATATAAACCTCAGAATTGTTATATATTTCTAATATGATTTTAAACAAATTACAGAAAATATTCCATTTTTTTCCTTTTTAAATTTTGTTTCCAGTCAGTCTGGACTGGATTGTTAGTCCAGTTTAAAAAAAATCCCCAAATCCATATTTTAATTATGCTTTTTCCACTTATTTCCAAATAAAGAGCTTTTTAAAGCTTTTAACCTGCATAAATCTTTCACTGAGGGTTGGAAGAAAAATCACCCAATGTAATAAAACATGTCCTTCTGAAGATTCTTAGTATCGAAAAAGGAATTTATACCATTTCCTGTAAATGTGATTAAGAGGAGAAGTGAGCAAATGGACCCTCCATTTGAGCAAAGCCGACTCTCCCAGTTCCCAGACCTCTAAAATCCACCAGAGACCACTGTTTTATGGTCTTCTTGTGGGGACCATCTGTAAGAAGCACTCTGGGCAATCCCAAGTCCTCTCATTGATCCAGAGAGAAGTTTGGGCAGCCAGTTCCTTCACCAGTTCCATTTTCTGCTGCAGTCTGGAGCATTGTTAAAAACGAAACAGTCTTTTAGTCCACTATTACTTCTTCAGAAGCCTTAAAATAATTTTTTCCAATCTATCTGTGATGGGAGTTGTATGCAACCCATCCGTTTGGGCGAGGTTCTTCTAAAAGCTAGAAAATAATATTGAAACATACTAAGGTTATTCAAGGTTTATCCACTAAATCAGGGCTTTTCAACCAGTGGTACGGGTACCACCTGTGGTACATTGGCACCTGGCAGGTGGTACGCGACCATCCTAGAAAAGTGGTAGCAGGAGAAGGGAATGAGAGCACCGCCGGGTGGGCAAGCAGGCAGGTGTCTTGCTCAGCTGTGCTTTGGGGGGCCTTTTTTTCAGTGCCATTGTAACTTCGAACAGTCACTAAGCGAACTGTTGTAAGTCGAGGACTACCTGTACTTTATCACTTTTTTCCTTTTCTTTTTTTGGTCATCATGTTTTTGACACCTTGCTAGGCGACTGGTGGTACTCGGATATTGCCACATCCTAAAAGTGGTACAATGGGTGAAAAGGTTGAAAAGCCCTGCACTAAATTGTCTCCCTGAAGGTACTGCATGTTTTGGTACAACTGCCTACATTTCCATAAATAGGAGATACAATCGGTTATTTGGAGAGTCTGTGCTACAGGGTGATAAACTGACTCCCTCAGGGGAGTTTCTGATGAGATAATGTTATCCTGGCATTTGAGAACAAACATAAAAGTGCTGATGGATTGTACCACCAACAGTCCCTTTTGTAAAAATGCAAGTAGCACAAGTGAGAAGAGACACTCCAGATAAAAAAGCTGCCTGGTTATATCTGCACTCTGGTGCCATAAACAAATACGAAAATAAGACACATGAAACCAGGTGGATGGATGCTTTTCCAAAAGATGACTTCCACTGGGATTTGCATTTCCAATAAAACAGTAGTGGAACATCTTACCTTGGTGCTTCTGGCTTCCCCACCATCTGCTTCCAACTTGCTGCTTGTGGGAAGCTCTTGTTCCTATAAATGTTAGGAAGATAAGAACCTGAGGTGGCAAATATGACACGTGTTTCTTTTAAAAACAAATCTTTAATTTTCAAGTGCTCATTTCATGTGCCTTATAGGTGAGAAATGCAGAAGTTTCATCAGCCTGATACCCCCAGCAGTTCAAGGTAATTATATGCTGTCACTGTTTCAAGTTCTTTCTATATTTATATCCAGTGTTCTGAATCACAGGGGAAAACAATCTTTTAACACATACACATGCGCACATGCACATCCAGGTTTTATGAAACATACATTGCCTTAGATAGATGTTCAGAATTTTTGCTGAATGTCAGATTTGGGCCTGGAGTAGACAATCCTTCATTCTCCAGAGAGTCAGTGTATATGTCAGTTTAGAGATAAATCTTAAAGAAGCCCAACCTGGCTTTCTAATTTGAAAGCAGGAAAAGCAAGGCTCTTCTGCAGACTGAGTCCAGTCCTGATGGCAAATTGATGGCAGGCTGGATAGGAATGCTGGTAATTACTGTCTCAAACATCTGAAGGGTTCCAGATTGGGGGAAGTGCCTGTACTCGCCCATCCTTAAAATCAATTGCCAGCTCCTCTGAAAAGAAATCAAATTTGATAACCATGTATGTAGCTCTATTGCTGGTTTGTAGAAACAAAATATTCCTTTAAAAAGGTCATAGTGCACTGATTTGTGTGTATGTGTGTATTCCAGGAGTTCTATGGTTGTCCATTGCAGCAGAAATCCTCTATATTATTTTACTTCTGATGGGCATCACTCTCATGTTGATTGAAATCTGTCATTCCATCAGTGTCCTGGATGGGCTGAAGCTTAATGCATTTGCTGCTATATTCACTGTTTTAGCAGGTAATCATTTGGTACTGCTTCTGTTGAGAGTTAAAGTCAGCCAAAGGAAGAAATGGTCAATAGAAAGAAATTATTTTTATACTAGGCATAGAAAGATCGGTTCTTAAGGATGGGAAGAGATGTCTTGTTCTAAGAGAATTAGCTGCTGATACTCAGACTCTCCACATTAAAGGGAGTTTTTGTGTGAGGAAAAACTGCCACCCATTTCAACAAAGAAACAAAAGATTTCTGGGAAGCGATGGCTGCAATGACAGTCAAGGAATGGACAGAAAGTCCAAACAAGATGGAGCATCTGCTTTGAATGTAGAAGGTTCTTAGTTCATTTCCAGTTAGTACAATTCCTCACACCAAAGACATGGAGGAGGATGGATTAGTTCTCTAGTTGTCATCTTCTGCTTATTTATCTTTTATCCCCACTGTGACTTAGCAAGAGCTAAATCTGTTCAGATATTCTCCCCCCCCCCCGAGAAATTCACTCAGTATTTTACGTGCCCTAGCATCAATTCATCAAGAAGTAATTTGTTGAAACTATGATCGACTGTTACAGGTCTCCTTGGAATGGTGGCTCACATGATGTATACCACTGTATTTCAAATGACGGTAAATTTTGGCCCAGAGGACTGGAGGCCTCAAATGTGGGATTATGGCTGGTCTTACTGGTAAGTTCTGAAGCAAAATGTATCACAGAAAGATGGGCATGAGTCAAATCATTCTGAGGTTTAACATTAAAGCTATCATTTTTTTTTATTTCTTATCTCAGTGACAAAGTATTGTAGCCAGGTCTGAGAACAGAATCATAAGAACTTGCAAGCTTGCTTCTCAAGTATATCAAACGGGTGCTTAATATTGATGGCGACATGTTAACAGCAATGGTTGTGTGTGAAGTTCAAAGATGAAAAATATCTTGTCTTACTCTGAGTACAGTAAGCTCTGTATTAAGTTGGGTTTCTCCTATCACTGAGGTTTTTCAAAAGAATGATTCCTTTCTATACATATATTGACCCCAGGAATTTCATCATGTTGCACAAAAGAAAAACAGTCGTGGAATGGCTGAAAGAGATGAGAAAATGAATCTTCCATCGCCATAAGCTTTCTTAGTTTAGTAGCCAAGCCAATAAGAAATCTGCTAAAAGGCATATATTTTACAAATATGTTCAGAACCTATAAAAAAGGTGTTAGCTGCTCAGTAACCATTCCCCCCCATTTACTAGTAATACATTTGTTTGTGCAACCATTTTAATGTTAGGATTGGGATCCCCAAGAGGATTGTCAAAGAAAAGATGACCCTCATTCTTAACCAGCATAAATTGCATTTGGTGGCATTGCTACTGGTTGGTGGTTGAAATATCAACAAATCATCTCATTTGATGCATCATTTTTCATTAGTTGGGCCTCCTGTGGTGAATTAAAAAGAAATGTTAACCAAATGACAACAATGTCACTGATGAAGCCTAGTGCAGGGGTTCCCAACCTGTGGGCCATGGCCCACTACTGGGGTGTGGCCTACTGGCCACTGGGCTGAGGGACAGGCTGGCCAGTGCGCACACTCACTCCCACTCGTGCTAGCGCCACCGCTATGAAAATGGGGCTCTGTGTGACAAAAATGGGGCAGCACTAGAGCCTGTGTGGCAAAAACAGGGAGGTGCTAGCAAGTTTCACGTGGGCACTAGCACCATCCTGTTTGCGTCGTGTGTGCTCACAGTGCCATTTGTGTGTGTGTGTGTGTGTGTGTGTGTGTGTGTGTGTGCATGTGTGTAAAATGCTTCCCTCTCTCTTTCCTTCCAGTCCGCCAACTGAGAAAGGTTGGAGACCTCTGGCCTAGTGGCATTTCTACTTTTTCACTAGTGGCATGAAAAACCAGTGAACATGTGGAACAAATTTGCCTCTTCCCTCTGCGGAATTTCCTGTAGAGATGTTCATGTGTGATCATTCAGCTCTACTTTAGAAGCAGTGAAAGATAAAAGCACAAATGTGAAATCACAGTGAGACTAATAGCAAAACAAGTCCAACAGGATGTTCCTACATGATGGAGAAATGTTTTAAAAGATAGGTTGTTAGAAATGAAATGTAAATTCTTGGACTGTATAAGAGATCTGAGGGCTGTTCAATCTGGGGGGTGGGCGTGTGTATGACTGTGTCCTGTCATTTTTCCCCCTTTTTTCTCAAATTGACAGCTTGGCGTGGGTTTCCTTTGCCTGCTGCATGGCTTCCTCTGTGACCACAATGAACAGATACACAAAAACTATTTTGGAATTTAAATATAAACAGAAGAAACTGGAGAGAAGTCTACAAGCTAAATCCAAGCCTCCTGTTCCAGAAAAGGCTTGGAAGATGTACGTTGACACCCTCCAGAGCACAAACGAGGACTTCATGCATCCCTTAACGGATATGCACAACCCATCCAGTCCTATGGGATTTGCAGAGTTAAATAATATTCCGGTGGCACATTGTGAAGAATATTGCTAAGAAGGAGATCTAGAATTGTTGATTTTGTTTTGTGTTATGGAAAGTACCAATGTATGTATGTTGCATTTTTCTTTTGTATGTTAAGAATAGTGGTGATGACCTACAAAAGAAACACTTTGGAGAAAAGTCTTTCTAATTTGGGATGTTCTCTTTTGCTTTGACAGCAATAGTTAGGTAGAGAGATTGATAGCATAACCCCATGAAGGTATCCTCAGAAAAAAATTCCACTGGTTCCAGTGGGACTTACAGTTCATTTGCACAGCCAGGTTGCGCCAACATGAGTATGGATCAACAACCATTTCTTGAAGATCTGCTAATATCAGATCTATTGATAGCTTCCTCTATCCACACCAGCCCACCAGGTAGGTAACTTCTGCCTGTCTTTCTCTGCTGTGCATCGAAAGTAGTGGTTTCCGACTTGTGCTGGCACAACAGCACTGTCAGCTACATCAATTGACCTCATTTCATTGTTGGCACATGGTTCCACTCCTACTATATGCTATTACAGGAACCCTTCTTTTCATCTGCTCATTGACACTGCCTGCCATGGCCATTTGTGCCAGGCTGCCAATCCACTTCTGAAGGGACCTCAACCAGGGGACCTGTGGGTTTTTTGTACTGTTTTTATTCATTTCATCAGTGGTCTTTCTTTCTTTCTTTCTTTCTTTCTTTCTTTCTTTCTTTCTTTCTTTCTTTCTTTCTTTCTTTCTTTCTTTCTTTCTCTCTCTCTCTCCCTCCCTCCCTCCCTCCCTCTCCTTCCTTCCTTCCTTCCTTCCTTCCTTCCTTCCTTCCTTCCTTCCTTCCTTCCTTCCTTCCTGTAGAATGCAGTATTGCAGACTGACTCTGCCCATAGCCATCGATCCTAACTGGTTGGTAAAATGAAGACCCAGATTGTTGGGGGCAACATGGTGATATTTGTAAACCATTCAGAGAGTTCTGTAAGGCACTGGTGAGCTGTATATAAGTCTAATTGCTATTGCTATTTTCTTTTCTTTTTTTCTTTTCTTTTGCCAAATGAAATGAACTATGAAATGGCAAATCTTTCTTTTTTTAATCTTTCTTTTTTAACCAGGTTAAATTGATAGAACTGTTCTAGCAGTTTCATCTCCTAGCCTAGTCATTTGGGAAAAGAAGTAAAATAGTATTTTAAATTTCTTCCTGGTCCACTGATGGACATACCAGAGGGGAAATGTCTCCATGGAAAACTCATGTTCTACAGATCTGCCTGCTGGAAAGAAAGTGGCTAATGCTTGATTTCTTGACATGGGCCAGGCAGATGAAAAGCAGGAGGGGACCAATAGTAAGCATGGTTTATATCAGGCACCATTGTGACTAAAGTGGAGGAAACCAGCTTTATTTTTGTTAGTTTTTTTAATGTTATATTTATTATTTTTATAAATAATTCAAGATGGTGAACATATCTAACACTCCTTCCTCCTCCTACTTTCCTCCTAACAGCAATCCTGTGAGATAAGTTGAGCTGAGAATGACTGGCCCAAAGTCACCCAGTTGGCTTTCATTCCTAAAGTGGGACTTCAGCTGATAGTCTTCTGGTTTCTAGCCTGGTGCCTTAACCACTAGACCAAGGGTAGGCAACCTTGGCTCTTTTATGACTCATGGACTTCAACTCCCAGAATTCCTGAGCTAGCATGGCTCAGCTTGGAAACCTCTCCCTTTTCCCTCAGCGTGGCTGGCTCAGGAATTCTGGGAGTTGAAGTCCATGAGTCATAAAAGAGCCAAGGTTGCCTACCCCTGCACTAGACCAAACTCGCTCTTAGTCAATTCATACATATGAGTCAGGCAGCTTAAGGATATAATGGAGAAAAGTCCTTGTTCTCCTTTAGTGAGTCTAGCACCTTTACAAAAATTAATTCCTCTCTGCACAATGGCATTTTATCTTGACCAGGTCATACCATTATATTGGAAACTTACAGCTGGTATATTTGATGTCTATACCAGTAGTTAAGAATATTGAGAAAGTGCTAAATATTTCAAAAAGGATAGAAGAGAAAAAAGTACTCCTATGATTATTCGTACATTTTGATGAAGCTAAATATAGAGCTCAGAAAACTTTTGTGTCTTCTTTTGTCTTATTTTGATCAGTCCTTTTTTCTTTAAAATGTCTTTAGAGGATTCAGCTCTGTGAAACTTCAGTAGACATTTCTTATGAGAAGTGAAGTTTTATAATTCAGAACGGAGTTTCACTTCCCAAATTACCACACACTTTTAATAATGCCCAGAGAGGCACCTGCAAAAGTTCCCTTCCAGCAACTAATTAAGAAAACTTTCATATTTTAACTTTCAGGTGCCAAGAGATCCTTTGAGCAGGTAATTATTATCTGACAAGCAAATCTCACCAACTGGGTTTTATACTTTTGGCTGCAGGCAAAGGTGAAATAAACAAAGGAAGCAATTATGAAGTATTTAACAGCTCAATCTTCTTGATGCCTTTCTTGGCCTTAGATAAAGAGTTCTGTAATTTTTGCTGTGAGTGACAGTTAAATCAGCCTATATTATTTGGAACAGTAGGACAAAATCATCAATCATCATACTTTATCAAAAATATCCAGGGTCTTTTTACCATAAGATAAAATTGGCTAAGACTTAAGCTTCTCTTCCTGAGCCAGGTTGCAAGACTGCCCTTTCCATTATCAGTTAGTATACAGTGCAGAGAAAACTGTAATTTGATTATAGAGAAAGAGCAGGATTTTTTTTTTAAACTGACCAGGTTGCTTCTCCATGACAACAAAGGAGAATATTTGTAACTCAAGGTTGAAATGATGAGCCCTTAGTGCTCTCTGATCTTGGTTGTTTTCTTGCAAACATTTCCTTACCCAAACTAGGTAACATCATGAGTGCTAGCTTCAGAAAAGCGCCTCTAATGGATTTCAGAATTCAGTAAAAAAAAAAAAAAAAGCTCATAGTTCAAATCTCTCCTATGGGTACCATTTTCCCATCTTTGCATTAGATGGGGTAAGAAAACTCTTTATTGTATTTTATTCTTACTGCTATGTGCCTCTGATGCCACA